TTTTTGTTACTAACGGCGCTGTTTTTTCCGGCAGATGCTTCTAGCTGAAAGAATTTCAGACTAGCCGCCAGGACTGTCAGGAAACATCCCTTCAAAATTCCAGTCTCCTAGCTTCTCAGGTTTCTGAGTTAACAACTTACCCGGAAGAAACTTTGGCGAGTCCGTACGTGACTACCACGCATACTCAGAGCCTGGGTTTGAGGTTGATGAGTTTTAGGTGGACGGGGAAGTTCCTTTTAAAATTATAATCGTCTAGCTTTCCAAATTCTCGAGTTAGCAACTTACCCAAAAAAAACTTTGGCGGGCTTGTGCGTGAATACCACGCATAACCGAGGGCTGGGTTGGAGCTCATTGAGACTTACGTGCACGGGTTACATCCCCTTAAAAGTTTCAGTTTTCTAGCTTTTCTGATTCGCGAATTAGCGACTTACCCGAAAAAAAATTTCACGGTCCCGCGTGGTACCCACGTGGCGGGTAAAAGAGCCCATTTTGGGAATTGGGGGCCTGTACATGCATGTAGATAAAGCTCCCAAAGTTTCAGCCCTGTAGATTTTGTAAGCCTTGAGATGAAAAACCATGACATACGCACACACACAGACAACCCTTCGTCAGTATGCGTTTTCTGCATCTCATAGCTGCAAAAAACGCATAAAAACAAATATCCTCTTAAAGTTAGAACATTCCAGATAACTTACTTTCTAGATTGGCATTTTGCTAGCGATAGCTTTGTCGCGTCCGTACAGAAGATGTGTGCGTGTATTAAAGTTAAATTTTGAACCTTTATCTCACACTAAAAAGCAGAATGGAATTTCAGCTTCTGTTTCTTCTGACTTTCAAGATCGCTTTCCCACCAAAAAATTTGCATATTTTTTTGAAACGTCCATACATGGAACCTGGGCGTACGCGAATAATAATATTAAAACAAGAGGGCGGTTTTATAATCCCGAATTTTCAGCTTTCTAGCTTTTATTGGGTGACCAAAAGCGCAAACGCGCGCGCACACACACACACACACACACACGCACGCGCACACACACACGCACGCGCACACACACACAGCCTCTTACTGATGTGCGCTTTTTGCGTTTGCATTACATGCAAAACGCATAAAAATGCGAAAGTTGAGTTAGAACAGAGAGAGAGTTTTTCCAGAGCAGTATAATATTCTTTTTTTTTTTTTGATTTTTGACATTTTATAAACCTCTTTGTTTTTCGAAAAAGGATTTTTTCAGGATTGAGTGTGGTGCCTTATGGCTGATATTTAGCAGCTGTGATATGGCACTGGCGGCATTAAGTTTAGATGGAGTACGAATTGGTGACTTGATTTTGAGTGTTAAACTGTTAACCGCGGACTGGATGGAAACTGAATGTGCCCAAATGAGTAATTTGATGCGAAACAGATTTGAAGACACGGTTGTTGAATGCAGTGAACTGGGAAATGCGGATAATTTTGAAATAAATGGTAATTTTTGCGCCGCTTCATCAATATTTAATATTTTAACCTCATAAGTACTGGTAAGAAAGACAGCTCAGAGAACTTTCAAAAAAATTTATTG